TCTTCGATGCATTGATATATTCAGAAAGAAAAAAATAACGATTTGGACTGAACTGTGAAAAATTGATAAATAATTTTTTAATAATTGAAATTTTTAAAATTAATAACAAATGTTGAATAAAAGTTATATGGAAAAGTTAATACTCAGTTTATTATAAAAGTTTATAATAAAATTAAAATTAAAATAAAAATGAAATTAAATTTACTGGTAAACGAATTGATAAAGTTTAAAATCGAATAATTGATTTAACTAATTCAAGAATTACTATAAATATATTAAAAAATATATTATAAAATATTATATTATAATAAATTTAATAAATATTATATTATATTAAATTTGTTATAATATTTTTAAATTTATTATAATATTAAATTTATTATAATATTATATTAAATTTATTATAATATTTATTAAATAAATATTATATTATAATAAATTTAATAAATAAAATATTATATATTAAAAAATATATTAGTATATTAAAATAAAAATTTTAAAGAATTTAAAGGAACTAAAAAAACCAAAGAAAATTTATATTGTTAATATTAAAATAATGTAATATTTTATTACATTAACACTATTAAAAATTGAAATCAACAATATTTAAGACAATATTTAAGTTTTGAGATGCGTTTTAATATACATATATTATCTTCATAAACAAAGGAAAAATTATAAAATATAAGAACAATAAAATTTTATTATCACACAATAAAAACTCACTTATTCCTTCTTTTTCATTTGTACGATATATTTTTATATTTATATTTTATTATATTATATACAGTTTCTCATAGTTATATACAGTTATATACAGTTCTCATAAATTTACTATTATCTAAAATCGAATAAATTTTCACACCATTATATATTGTAGCGTGATGTTTGTTCGTATATATTTACATATATTAAAACATTCTCTTTTTTTTTTTCTTTTTTGGTCTCATTTTTTAGAATTATTCTAATATGGGTAATAGTCTGTTGTCAGTTTATCATATGCTGAATATTAATTAAATAATTGAATGATCAATGTAAAATCATATTCATATAAAATCATATTTTATATTCCGTAACAATGAACAATAGTAAAAGTAATAAAATAATCAGCCAATTATTGTTTCAATCATTTCATATGAATGTGATCGATGAACAAACCTTGACCCACTGACTGAACGTAGTTTATAGGATTACTAACTCCATGAGTCTTCCAATCGTTTGAAGTGTATCGACATGTCCGTAAATACAATGTTCAATGTGGAACAGAAATATCTAGTTTTTTTAAAAATGTTTGAATCACGGAATTAATTTGAATTCTATAGCAAAACTAACGTTAAATTCATTGTCTATATTTAAATTATAAATGCGTTGTGAAATATCAAAGTTTTTATGAGTAAAAATATTAATTTAAGTTTTATGAGTAAAAATATTAATTTTTTTCAGAGATATTAAAAACATAAAGGCATAAAAATGTTTGATTGTTAGTCAAAAGACCGCTATACATACTCACGTTTAAAGATTTTAGCACAAATACTACATTTATTACAAAATTAGAAGAATTGAAAATTGATTATATTATCAACCAGAATTATTAAGTTAGATAATAGCTTATACAAGAAAGAATCTGTTAAGTGTTAATATGTTGACAATTATGCATTTAAAAAATTTCATTATTTATTAATTATAAAAGATTTTTGAGCAAGAATATATACTATAATATAATTTCCGAATGTTATTAGTTTGGAATGGAACAAATACGAATACAAATTTCCTTTATTCACACAGTAATTAAAAAACTTCATCATCTACAATAAATAATGAAGCACAGCAAAGAAAAGAAATTAATTTCTTTACATTTCTAAGCTCCCAAAAAATATAAAAATTTTGAGATTTTGTTATATTATACAATCAGTTTTTAAACCAAATCTTTGAAAGATTTCTCAGGAATAATAAGAATTTTGCTTAAAAAATTTCAGAAAATGAAATTTTACTAAGAACATTAACGATCCAGTTAATGGAGGATTAAAAATAAAAGGCATCTTAAGATTTTTAAACATGAGTGTACATTAAAAAAGAAACATTTTTGAAAATAATTTAAGGAACCTTTTACATAATATCCAAATATTAATGTATGTAGACATTAGTTAAATTTAAAAAAAAAAACACAATATTTGTAAACAGTTTGTAACATGTTTTTTATTTAAAAATTCTCTTTTGTTTTTCAATTTTAATTCTTACTATTTTAGGCATTCTTTCAATTAATTTATTTAAATTTTCAAATGACATATTGTTCCAACAGTGTTGTAAAATCTCCATTAGATGTTTTGTGCTATTAGAGCTATTTCCACAACATCTCAAATGGATTAAAATCTGGCGACTGAGGTCAATTCATGTTTATTAATATTTTTTGATCTTTTTCTTTTAAATATATATCCTCTACACAATTTGAAGATTAGGATTAGTATCTTGTTCCATAATAAATTTAGAAGCAAAAATATTTGCATAAATTTTAAATTATCATAATTATTCTTAAACTTTTGACCAATAGTATAAGTATATTTAAGATTTATCGGTAGATTAATAGAATTGTAATAAAAAGACACAATCTTGTAAATATAGAAATTATTAAAAATTCAAGTTAAAAATTATAGAAATAAATTATGTCTCATTATATATTAAAATATCAACGTGATTGTTCCAATAAATTGCTTCTTTTTTATGTTAAAATTTTTTCAATTGTACATAAGTATGTTGCAACAATACATATAGATATAAAAAAAATTAATCCAAATGGTATCAATTAAATAATCAATTGAATTAAAATACAGAGTAGAAATATTATAAAATATAATAGTCAAATTATCAATTTGTTGATAGACATAAATGAAACAACTTACATTATTAATTTTCTTGGATTTTGTCAAACATATTTTATTTTTTTTCTCTTTTAAACATTATACAAAAGAATTTTATACATACGGTTTCTGTACTAAACATTACTTATAAGTAAGCACTTTTATATATTGAGTATCTCATCCAAATTGAACGTTTAAGTAAATTATTCTCATTGTTCTTGGAAATACC